ACCCACCTGGCACCAATCAAAGATGCTTTGAGGATCATTCTTTCCACCAGATTTGAGTGACTTGCAGTCTTAGCTCATCAATCCTGACATCACCAGGAATGCAGCCCCTGCAAGCAGGACTTTACCACGTGGACTTTCCCTCTAATCTGTTGCAGCGATGCTGATGCGTGGGCGCCTGCGTGGGCATGCAAGGTAAGGACTATCTTGGGTGTTTGAAACACAGCAGAGAGATTTCCTTCCCCACTCTGCCTCTGCAGGAGCAGGCCTGCTGTGGTTTCCATTAGACTTGTAGAAGAGCCAAGAAAAACCCCTCTGGTCTGCTGGGAGAATAATTAGACTTGGCAAGTTTGTTCAACAAGCACTTATTATACATTGTATTAATGGGTGACAGGTAGAGTCTGTGGTTGTTTCACTTAATAATGCATGGATCCTCCTAGATATCCTAAGGATCTCTCTCTGGAGTTGTGTTTTGTGATCAGATGGCATAACTAATGGCCGGGGCTGATTACATGCTGATTAAAAACTACTTAAGAATCTCATCTGTCCAGGAAGGGAATGCCAAGCCCTGCAGTACGAGGGAAGTGCCTGTCCCTATTTCATTTCAGTCGTACTGGTTCATCTGTCTTTAGCAGCAGGCACTGAGTGACTCTGCTTTGCACATCAAAGGGAATTCAGGATACATAAGGAATCCCAGGTGTCTGAGTTTAGCTGGAATTAGACCTTGAAGCTGATGTCTTTGGTGAATGGATACCTTCCTCTCTTCAGAAGCTGATGGCTTTGACCAAGAAAGCGTAGAAGCACATTCTCATTCAGTGCTTACCCAGAACAGCAGTGCTCCCGCAGAAGGGGGGAGTTTCTTTATGTGATACATTTTAGTGGGACACCTTTGCACTGAGCAGACAGAAGTCTAGAAAACTCTGGAGAGCCTACGGGAAGCTTGTATTTCTCTGTGTTTCTCCTCCCATGGATTTAGTCTGGTGGGAAAAATGACAAATTCATGGTCTGGGGCGTTGGTAGTGAAAAATGGACCATGGTGTGATGGTGAGGAGTATCACCTGAGGTGTTTGCACCATTAAGGCTATCAGATAGTTTGAAGTAGATACAGACTTTGGCTTCTATGGGCAAAGTGCAGGACTCCATCCCATGTGTGCATTGAGGGGCGCCCCCATCCTTTCCAGCGTAAGATACTTCTTATCTGCTTTTGTAGCACGAGCCATATTTCCTTCTTACCCCTCCTAAAATTTGTTGGGCATCTGTGCCTTAATAGGTAAGACGTAAAACAGAGCTGGATTCACCAAAAGGTTTTAAACTCTGCACTGGCCTGCTGGGACAGCCTCTAGCCTTTCCCACAGCATTGGTTGGGAAACACGAATTTGGTTAAATGCAAGCTTCTGGTGTGATTTTAATAAGTCTTTTGAGAGAAGCAGTGTCTGCAGTGCATGTTCAATGTGCTCTCTGAAGAGAGGGTCCTTGGCAGTGTTCGGTTTACAAAAGACAGCTGATCGGGGACGGCCTTGGATACTCATGGCCAAATATCTGTCACTTTTGAACACCGGGAGAGACTGTTATATTTAGAGTGTAGAATCCTCAGTGCCTGTGCTGGACTCTCCATGGATTGCCTGGTCCCCGCTGCCAGAGGCACAGTGTTCCTCCTCTGAAGCTTTCCCTCTCTGGCTTGCACTGTAATAGGTTTCTTAGGCTGTCCAGCCTAAAAATCTTGAATTTCTGACTAAAATAGGATCTGTGACTCTTCAATGGCTTTGTGGTGTTTCAAAAATGTTGAAATAGTTGAAAGAAATGCTTTTAAAGAGTTTAAAAATGGCACACTGTGACAGCCAAGTTCAGCGTAAAGCTAGTGCATCTGAATAAGGTAGTTTAGAAAGAGAAACGAAAGTCTTTAAAGGAAGCATTTTCAGTCCAGATTAATCAATAATACTAAAGTTGAAGAGATATAGAGTATGTTTCAGAAAGTAGTAACATATAAACTTATAAACAACAAAAAAAACCCTTAAATTTTTAAAATATTGTCCAAATTTATGGCTTTTTGGAAGGAGGGGACATACCATTTTCCTTTGCATAAATATCCTCTCTATTTGATTGATGGACTAAGGGCTCAAGTATCTCGAGCCATGTAGGATTGTGTTTGTCTAAGCCTCTAGACATCTGCATTGTCAAACATGTGGAGACACATCCAAGTTGCCGATGCAAATGTCACAGCAGGGTCACACCTTGATAGGGCCTCAGCTCTGCATTACAATGAGTGGTACGTTTTTAGAAGGAATTATATGATGCCATTACCTGTGATAGCAGGGTCTTGACTGTGGTGACATAGAAGATCCTGTTTACCTATGTACGTTCATTTTTTTGGTGTCAGAATGTAAATGAGCCTCTCTCCAAATACAAACCAAGGCACAGCAATACGTCAGTGAGTGCCAAAGCTGATGGCAAATTGAGTCGTTGTTTCTGAGCTGCGCTGCCATTACGGGAAGCTTTGCTGACAGTTATGAATGTCACTCATCAAAACACTTTCACACAATTCTGATAAGTCTAAATGGTACTATTTTATAGTCAATGTCACCATCGCTGCAGAGGGCACCGAAGTTGTCTTTAAATTCATTTCTCAAGGTAATCTGAATGTACCTGTATTGTCTACCAGGCATTTTCTGAACGCAGCCAAATAAACTTGGCATCAGCTGCCACAGGAACTGTCCTTCTGAATAATCTCTTATGTTGTCGAAAATGATTGCATATTTCAAACATATAGGTTGATACTTCATTGTTTGTTTGCTTGCCTGCTTGGTTTTAACACAGTTGGTACCAAGTTCATTCCACTCTGTCATAGTTCCAGATTTCTCTGGTTTCCTCATGTGTTTTGCACTGTCTGGATATGGTTCATTCCTTTTATTAAAAGGAGGAAATTTATATTTTGTTCTATTGCACTGCACATATTGCCAGTGAACATCCTTCCCCTTTGCCACCATGAGCTCCTCTGTGTGCACGATGTGGAGGATGACCCAGAGCAGCATAAAGGCACACTGGTGATGGTTACAAACCCCAAAACTGCAGCCTCCTGCATCCACTTAAGAAGGCAGCCTGGTTTTACACCCTCTTCCTTAAGTGCTGGGTACTGAAATCCATCTTGGCTGTCACCCCACTGAAGAAGGTTTTCATTAACAGCATAAAATAAAAAGCACTAAAGCTCTTCTTTGGGATGAGCTCAAATCTACAGCTGACCTAAAGCTGTGCTGCTGCTTTTCCAGGCCAAGACAACACTACGTGTGGCAAAGCAGTGTCTGGCACAGTGTGTGACAGCAGAAAGTGTCCCCTTCTAGTAGCGTGACACTCCACTACATGGCACAGTCGCTGCTTCATCATCCTGTTAAAAAGGGAGGTAAGAAGGTGTACAAATTTTGCCTCTTCAGAGTTAAGTGTTGAAGTATTTGAATTCCTCCTCCGTGCCTTTAAATATGGAAAGCTAAATATATGGAGGGAAAAAGTGAGGGGAACTATAAATAAGAAATGAGTATGTGGGCTAAATCTCAATCCATTCCATGGTACTTGTCGCGCCTCCCCATCAAACACCATTGTGCCTCACCAGCAGAATGTGGCTGCAGGGAGTTGTTGCTGGTCTTTTGGCTTCTTCTGTGGTTGTTGGGAATGATGGTTCAGCATCAAAAATCAGGCTCTTGTAGAAGTTCAAGCAACTCTGGAAACAATGGGTAATTGCTTCTAGTAAGGTCACAAGCTAATGAAATATAAACAACGTCTAATAATTGCACTGCAATGAAAACGTTAGCAATCGTCCTTGCATGTCTGATATCCCAAATATGCCCCATGTGCCTAGTACATGTGTTGATGCTATAACACTCGCTCTTGACTTGCCTACAAAGGTGCTTTCCAGACTTAAGCATGCATGTAAATAAGAATATTGTGTTTAATTTGCCACACAAATCACTAAATTAGATGCACAGGCAGCTTCTACTCCTCCACAAGAGCTTTTTCTAATGGATACTTCATATTGCAACAGTCATTTTTAATAACTGAAAATGTTCTCAGTTTTCCAAGCCTGGATTACAGCTTGAGCCTGCAAGTTTTTGAATTCAGAGGATGTGATTCAGTGAAGCATTTCTAGGGCTTAGAAGTACGGAATTATTTGGCATTGCTTTGTTGCATTGATTAGTGAGATGTTGTGGCTGGAACCCAGAGTGGGGGCAGGAGGCAGGGTAACAGGGAAGGGGCAGCCCACCCACCACTGCCAACCAGCCATAATTGCTAGAATTGTGTTAAAATAGTCTAGCTTCCTACATGATAGAAATAGTGCCATAATCTTAACATTATCTCTTTCTATGACAGGAGGCTTGAGTAGGTTAAATGAAGTAGCTGCTTAATGTTAGAAGACTTCTGAAGCCATAAAGAACTACTTATCCAATTTAGCACTTTTTGCCCTCAGGGACAGGTTAACAAAGGTGCAGCTTTTCCAGAAGATTTTCACAGATCAGAGAGCCTTTTTACTGAAAATGTTATCTGTATTAACGAGGTGTTATGATCTAAAAACCTTGCGTTGGGTTTCTGCTAGACAAAGAGCCTTAGCATCAGCTCCTTCAGTAAGGACAGCTGAGGATGTGGGTCATTGTTCCCAGAATTAATTGATACAACCTGATGGGAAGGTATGAAAATCATCTTGTCAGATCCTTGCCAGGTCATTCTCAGCTGCTTTCAGACTCATTATGGACCCACAAAACTGCAGGTGTGAGTCAGGCTGGCCCACATCACTGAAAAAGTCAAAGAAACCGTGTGGCAAGGAGCTCCCAGTGGTGGTCCTGGAATAAGAGGGTACAACCAAGAGCCGTGTTACCATGTACATGGAGCCAGGATTGGAAACTCAACAAGGATAAATTCCTTACCGAATAGAGTGGTGAAATTTCCCTGCAGATCACAACAGGCAAATGTAAACTAATTATTTTTTTTTAAAGACTTTTATTAAGTATATTAAAGCTTCCAGAAGGCATATTGAAAAATGCTCAGGACCTTCTATCAGTGCATTTTTTACTGAAATACCATATGTATATTTGATAGAAATAAAGGACATTACAAATACAGCTAAAAAAGCCAAAGTATATTGTGTAGATTTTGTTTTTCAGAGGAAATGCAAGGTACTACATAAGGATAAAATTTAAGTCCTACTGAAGTCAACAGCCAAAGGTCATTATTCTTTAGTGGAACAAAAGATTTCACAGAAAAGGTTTTATACAAGAAGATATGAGTGATCTAAATTTAAGAGTATACTGTATTTATGGAAGTATTTTTACAAGCCATTCTTCACAGTGTGTATACAAGTGATAATGAAATACAGTTCTTCGGTGACAGTCATGAGAAAAATGTGATCACATAAGGGTGGTACTGAAGGAAGGAAAGAGGAGATATAGCCTATGGACTGGTGTTAGCTTTGGATTTGGGTGATCTGCCTCAAAAGCCCCCCCCCCCCCTTTTTTTTTTTTTATATCCAGTCACTTGGAGCTAAATCCACAAAAGGCTGACAGTTCAACTACATGGTGCCATGCTCAGCATTCTTGCTCTCAGGCAACAGCTGCTTATTATAAAAATACATCAGTGTTTGCTGTCTGTGTCCAGATCTTCCTGGCTCAAAATTACCACCTCTGGGTAAGAGGCTCCTACATGGCCTCAGCTCCAGCTCTGCATCACTGACCTGGGGAAACTTGATTTCATGCAACAGGGTGGCAAGAGGCCACCAGGTATTGCAGGGCTGGCAACAAGGAGGTGCCTAACCCCGCCCAAACAAAGTGGGGACACTTGTGTTTGGATTCCCTCCAGGAGGGATGCAACTTAACCAGGTTAAAAAAAAAAACATGGCACAAGGTTGCAGCTCTAAGATGGTGTTTAAAATTATGAATCCTGAGTAGTACGAAGCACAAAGTAAGCAGGCTGCACTGCAGAGAGGGCTGTGGTTTAACACATGACCATCCATGGTATTTTCTACTTTCTAGCAGGGGGATGCCTGTGCTCAGCAGCCAGGCTTTCAGCTCCTCTCCTCAGCTGCCGATGTTGTCCTTCACATAGGTAGCCACGGTGGCCAACTCAGGGCAGTGGACCCCACTTCAGGTCTGGCATGCCTAAGCCTGGCATTCACTGATGCAATGATGCTCATAGCTCCTCTAGGCTTCAGTTCTTCATTTGTACAATTAATTAGTAGCAACGACACTGCCTCACCAGGGTGCTGTAAAGAGAAAGCATACTAAAACCAGTAAGGCACTCAGATATTGGATAATAAGGACTGTGTAACCTCCTAGCGAAAATTTTAAAGAATTTGCGCTGTTCAAATGTAAATCAAAGTTTAAGCCCTTTGAGACTAAATTTCTGTCCCACAGACAGACAAAGGACCTGGAAGAAGGACTGCTGCAGCATGTCAGCCTTGTGCTGCCCCTTGCATAATGTCACCTTTCTCAAAGCATTTTGCAAAATGCAGAGGTCCCTGAGAAAGTCCCTGGTTTTGCCATGATGAGCCACCCTAAGTTAGTTCCTTTCTAGTACGCTCCAGACACAAAGACAGGCTGCCTCGCTGCCACTTCATGCACAGGCTTCTGCTGCCCTTGTTCTGTTCAAGAATCTCTCTCCTGTGGTAATTAAGATGAGTGTAAGGTCTATTTTACATTTTCATGAGACAGAGGTGCAAGTCGCAGTGCAACTGCCAGTAGAAGGCAGCATTAAATCCCTGGGATAATTCTGACACGGCAGTCAACGAGAGCCAAAGACTTTTGACCGCATGGTGAGAAGATCCAGCCATCACTGTACTCAATGCAAGGTCTGTTCAGGCTGCTGGAAGGGCTCTGCATTGACTCTGATGGCCACTGGCCTTTTCACTGAGTAGAGCTGCAGTACAGGGAATAAAAGTGGGGTGTCACTTACGCCCTTACTTGGTGACTCCGGGAAATGGGAAATATCTAAAGAAAAACGTTGCAGGACCTTTGGTATGCAAGTGGGTACTGCACTGTGTCCCAGCACTTTGTAAGAAACTAGACTTGTTTTTGTTCTAGTCTTCTCCTACAACATGGAAGAGGAGGCACACTGCAGAGCATAGAGCAAAATTTAAAAACCTAGTGTGATTTCACAGCTGGTGTCCACTCAAGCACCCAGAAGTAATTTTCCATTCAGCCCATGGGAACAGGTTTAAACTTCATTTGTGCCATTCACTTCCTTCTTTAGTCCTTCTTGTTCTTCTCTCAAAGGTTTCAGCTCAGGCCCATCCTGTGCAGTTTCTTTGTTCCAGTTATTTCTGCCTTCATTTTCTGTCCTTACAGATTTAGGATCCTCTTCTTTTGCCTTTCTTTCCTTCTCCTCCTTGGCAAGCATACGATAATTATAGTAATTCATGATGAACAGGAAGGTTCCTGCCAGGACCATCACAGCTCCACATTTAATGAACATATATTTATAGTCCCCAAAAGTATCGATTAGAGTTCCTGTAAAACATGTATTAAGAAAAAAAAAAGAAACTTAGAGATGAAGGCAAGAATATTTTGTTTTCAGATCCTAAATATAAAAGGACAGACTTGTGGCTTTAGGATAAAATAAGACATTCTCTGGACTTCTGATCTCTTCTACAAATACTCTGATCCTGCAAATACTTCACACATGTTCCACTACATAGCCTGTGGGTAGTTAACATTGATATAGGTAATACTACTAATAACTTGTACAGTTAAGTAGAAAGGGACAGAGAATCTACATTGCAAAGTCTAGACTTTTCAGACACACCTACTTTTTCCAGGCAGAAATTAAGTCCTCTGCTCACAAAGTCTGCAGAGAGTCTTTCCATCAACTCCAATGATCATCTACAAGGGTGTCCATTTGACTTGGTAGTCCTCAGGCTGCCAACAAAAGCAGCAGCATTCGGGCAGATCTTTGTGAGATGGCACCTGGCCACTCGGTCTTGTCTCAGACTCTTGACAAAGACCCTCCAATTTATTCCTCCACGGGTCATTCACCAGCACTAGAGGGGACTCAGCTTTTGGTCACAGCTGCCCTTTCTGCATTTACACTCGTGATCTAAAGATGAAAGGGCACTGCGTGGAACTGGAAAACATTAGTTCCGGGGAAAGCAAAGATGATGCTGTCAATGTCAGATAATTTCAATGCCAAGACAAATGTGACAGGTTCCTCTCAAAGGTTAATGCCTCTGCTACAGAGTTAGAGAGTAATTGAAGGGAAACGGCTTAATTGAAATGTCAGTGTTCTCCATTATGTCAAAATGTAATGCAAATCTTATTGGGATTATGATCCTGAGCATTAATTCCCATTTACTGGTGCAACACAGACCATTCTTAACATCCCAATCCCTAATTAAAGTAAGACCCACTCGTAACCTGGCCTTCACAGCACAGATAGTCCTCCTTGAAACTTGCCCATCATCCATTAGCTCTCTGACTTTTTGGAACATGTTCTCCTCCTTAAAAAGAGGGACCTTTAATTGCTTCCTGACTGACCTCCTCATGTTGAAAAGCTGATGATTAATTATCCCACTGCATTACACTAACAAGGGATTTTATGGCCACCAAATACATTTCTTGATCACAAAAATAATAATTTTTAACTGGTTTTGCTCAACAGTTCTTCCTGAATCATCCCTAAATGTGGTTTTGGTACACCATTTTCAAGGCACTGTGTTTTTCATGTTACTGGTGAAACATCAACCAAATGCTAATTACAACAATTTTTTTCTTTTCTACTAATCAGGATGACCTAGAGGTCTCCTAAATAGGTTTCAATGAGAGTTTTAATGAGTAGAGTATTGGAAAATTCAACAGTAGGATAGTCTTGCCTCTTTTCCTTTGAGAATAAGATAAAGTCATAAAACACACTGGGAACAATTTACTTAGTTCATTAAAGCAGAACCCTGCAGTAGGTTATTAAAATGCCAAAGAACCAATAAATTTGCTGCTTATTAAAATGGTGGGGAAAACCCTACAAAACTAATATTACTGATTATTACATAGAACAGTTTTAGCCTCATTAGCGGTCTCTGGTCATTAACTTAATCTTCCACACAGAAAATTATATAATTCAGAAAATGGTCATTTTAAAATTGTATTTTCTTTTGTTTGTTATTAATTAAATAATGAATCTGTAAGACTGCAAGAGGATACAGCTGCTTCTGTCACACTGTATGAGCTACACGGCAATATGAAGAATTAAATGGCTCTGCTAGATGTGCCATACAGAGTATTAGCCAGATCTCAGTTTTGAATCCAGGAAATGGGTTTAAACTGCCTTCTTTCTGTGCATTCTTTAAATTTATAGTGATACTGCCATATCAAAAAAAATAGCAGAGTTTAACTTATATACATCCACATACAGACAGCATACACAACCTAATTAAACATTTTAGCATACTTAGAGGTGACCAGCTTCCAACCCAACTATTCAAGCTTGCACACAGGTGAAATGCAAATTGCAGGACAGGGCACATAGACAGGATGCTATTTGTGCACTGAGAGAATGTCACCTGTGAAGTCATTTAATTCATGGCCAACTCAGATTTGATAAGATGCCAGATTTAAATACGGTGTCTTCTAGACACAGTGTGTTCCTTGTAGAAAAAGAAGTAAGCACATGCTATGGAGGGTAAGAAGCGGAATCACTGCTCCCACTTATCTTCAGTTGACTGTAAGCCCTGCTAGAGATTCAATATTGTCAGCACAGACCCTTAAGGGTCTCTGCCTTTTGATATTTCAAATCATGCCATCCAAAATAAACATTTTTTTTTCTATTTTCAGAACAGCCTTGAATCTATCCGATGCGCTAAGATGACTGAAATCCATAAGTGGAAGTACTCAGAGCCTTAGAGACAAGTAGCAAGGCTACTAGGTTTGAGTCAACAAGAGGATTTCATAGAACTGTTGTGTTTTACTGAGCTTAAATTGTGGTAGAGTCCGGCCTTTTGCAACAGGAGTCTCCAGGAGGCACCACCTGAAGTGCAAGGTTCTTGGTGTTGCAATAAGTCCCACTCTGTAAGTTCAGTTCAAGTGTTTGAAGGGATCAGGGACTCAAAGATCACTCTCCAAACCATTGACTTCAACTGGAGGACTACACAGAAAGGAGCAAAGAGGAAATGCTGGAGAAGATACCTAGGACTTGCCTTCCCTGTCCAATTACTAGTGGAAAAATGGTGAGTGGGAAGCAGAGAAAAGACATTTAGAATCAATTCTTACAAAATGTGCTTGCAAGAGGCTAAATATAAGCCACAACCTAGTGGAAGGAGAGGAAGAAATTACACTCACCTCCAATAGGTGGTCCCAGCAATATCGTGCAGCACTCTGCAATGGTGACCAGGCCAACAGCGCTTGTGAACCGGGCAGCTCCCACAAGGTCCATGAGCGTTTCAAAGAGCATGGCACAAACCATGCCGAAGGCCAAGCCAAAAAAGACGGAGTAGACAACGAGCCCCGTGTAGCCAGAAGCCAGTGGGCACAGAAGGTGGCAGGCACCGTTGAAAGCAATGGAGAAGCTGAAAAAGTACTGAATCCGTGGCCTCACCCACTTGCTGTTTGCAATGATGCCAGTGGTAGGTCGGGCAATCATGTCCACGATAGCAAGGATCGAAAGGAGGAAAGCAGCTGAATATTCATCAATGCCAATGTGCTTTGCATAGGGTGCCAAAAAAACGATGGGGGCAAAAAATCCCAGGAACATGAGCACGTTTCCTATCAGGTAAATCAAGAACCCTCTGTGCTTAAAGAGGGAAAAATCGAGGTACTGATTGATTTTTTCACAGCAGTCCTTTCCTCCTTCCTCTTCTGTTTTGGCCTCCGTGGGGACGTTCATGGGACTACTCATTTCCATGGCATCCTTAGTGACCTCTTCTTTCAGTGGAGCCTTCCCTTCCTCAATTGCCTGGGTTTTGACTGATGCTGTGGCTGCCCCAATGGGTCTGAAGAGAGCTCCTGCCACACAGCAGTTTAATAGAATTGCCCCAAGAATTAAAAAGCTGCCCCTCCAGCCAAAATTGTCAAAAAGGAACTGGTTGAGAGGAGCCAGGGTGCAAAGCATCACGGGGCTCCCTGCCATAGCAAGGCCATTCGCGATGGGTCTTCTCTTCAAAAAGTATTTTCCTATGATTATCACTGATGGCTGGAGGTTGAGAGCAAGGCCAAATCCTGGAACAGAGAAAAATAGTTGAGATAGACAAAGGAAGATTTGAGACCCATTTACCCTTAGCTCATTGTTTAAAGCAAATTCATGGTCCACTGGTGGCTCTTCAACATGATAGCCTGGATGCACTTAAGACACATTTACCCTCAGCTCATTGTTTAAAGCAAATTCATGGACAATTGGTCCACCGGTGGCTCTTCAACATGATAGCCTGGATGCAAACTTTACTCAAGATATCCCTACGTTACTGGCTGCCACATTTGGGTAACCAGACCCCAGAGAGACAATTTTGGTCATAGAACGCCCTTTCCTTTTCTACTGCAAATCTCTTGAGTGGCAAACCTAGCACAGAACAAATTGAAACTATACCCTTAATGAACACTGGCTGATTTTGTCCAGACACAGCAGCCTTGTTGGAGGAGAGAATTGCTCTATTTAAAAAAATGACAACTCCCAGTCTGAGGAAGATTGTTCTGGCTTGAACAGTGCTAACCATCGACGCACACCCTTCTCACGTGCGGCTGGGGCTGGCACCCCCTTCCATGGGAGGTGGGAAGCCAACACTGCTGCTGGGTTGACAGTCCTGCACAGAAAATAACATTACCCTTCTTAGCCATTGCTAATTTGGTGGTATGAGCAATTCAGATCTGATGCAAAAGATGAAGAGGTCTGCAAGTACACAGCAAAACAGCTATTGAGGATGCTAATTAAACAGGACCCTAGAGTGTTTCTTTTAATTAAAATTTATTTATACTGCATTTAGATATATAAATGGTATTATAAATCTGCCTTGCTAATTCAGTTAGCCAGCTTCTCTTGCACAGGCAAAATCTGAAGCCAGAGATACCAAATGCTGTGATGGTCTCAACTTTCTGTGGTGCCATTTGAGAGCACTAATATATAATAATGTCTTCTTTTCAAACGTTTATATTATGTGCAGTATTTCCTTAAAAAGTTAAATTTTCAAAAGTCTATCAAAATAACATTTAAAAATCTTGCCACATATTTTCCACCCTATCATCCAGGAAAGAATGAGCCACATTAGAACAAAACAGAAATGTAATCCTTGAAGTGATTATACTAGAGAACATGAATCCTGAAAATAGGGTCATGCAGATTTTTTTCTTGTTCATTAGTCTATATAATTAGTTTGTTTAACTGTGCAGTACATAATTAGGCATATTGCTTTACAGAAGAGAATTTAGAAAGGTCAAGGTCCTCAAAATTAATTAAGGAACACTATCATTAGTCGCTGATAGAGTAGAATCCAACTGATGCAGCAGAATTCAACTGATGTTGGATAGCTTCAGTTTGAATGGTTTTAGAAAATTACGATTTTTTGCCAAGTCTAAGATTCTTTTTTTTCTTAAATTACTTGTTTTTCATGTTGTAAACTTCCAAATTGAAATGGCAACATATTAAAATTAGCCTTGATATGAAACACATTCTCAGCATGAATGTTTCTAGATAGTCCATACATTTGGTAGGGCGTGTGTTTGGGAAGTACAGTCTGCTCACAGTGCATAAGGGGCCAAATTCATGCCCATGAGAGGACTGACCTGAGAACAGTGGAGGCAAAAAACAGCCTGGGTTAAAGAACACCATCAAGGTGCTCAGATATAGGAATGCACCTTCTTTCACCTGAGAAGATGCAAAACAGTGAATTAGAGTTTGCTTTAACTCCGTATTTCCCAGGCTGGCAAGTAAGGGCAGTAATTGAACCATCATGTCCACAGAATCATTTTTGGTAGAGACCTACCACGTGTTGTGCAGAGAAGGAAAATCAGACTGGATGCCAGCTATCCACTTAACCAATAATCACCTCAAATTTTTTTATTACGTGAACATTAATTTGCCAGTCAGACAAATCTAATTTAACATTACCTCATGCTCTTCCCATTAATTAAATTTGGAGAGTTTCAAATTGACTGACTGGAATTTCAATTTACTTTCAGCTTTTGGCTGACTTTAGTTGGAAATATTCATATCCATTTTATTCCAGTTTTCAGAAACTACCGCAGCTTCTCCATGGCTGAAACTGTTACTCAAATAACCACATTTTATCCCCAGGGATAAGACAGAGAGGCCTATCGGTGGTGTTGCATAAGCAGAAGCAAGCCCACGCCAGACGGAGCATCCTTCTCTAGATTAAATACATCTCCCTCGTATTAGAAGGAAATCAGTGGTGCTAGAGCAATGAGCTGTGTAGCTATTGATCTCGTTTTACTTAGCAAAGGAAGATCCTACCAGGTATTTCAATGTTCAACGTTTACAGCTGAGGCAAAGACTCTAGTCTCATTAGTCAATGTGCTTCACCCTAGATCCCATATTTTATTTCATGGTGGTCTAATTGGTACAGATTAAACTAAACTCTGAGCCGTCATTATTGCCTTGCATTTAGCTTTGAAATTTGCTGCTGCTACCTCAGACTTGGAGAAGAGGTTGCATGCCTAAACACCTGTTTAACGCATCCAGGCTGGCACCTATCCAGGCTGACAGCTTGCAAACCCCATCTCCTTTTCCAGGCGCTATAGGGAAACGAGTCAGGAAGAGAACATGGGTTTTACAGCGTAGGCAACGCGCCTCCTGCAGCCCAGAGCTCGGTGCCTTCAAGGACAGAGCCCCCTCAGAGCTGCCTCCAACAGTGGAGCGCAGTCCCTGCTCTGCATGCAAATGGGAGAAGACATAATCAAGGAAGCAACTGAGATTGCCGTGTCTAATCCCTCCATCATAAACAGATACTTCCCGCTCTGCTCCTCTGAAGAGATTTCTATTAATATGCCAAAGGCACAGGACTGTAGCAGGAGCCTCCTAGTACCAACTACCTTGTTTTTATCTCCGTCCTTGTGCATGACATGAACGTGGTCTTTTACGTCAGTCTGTTTCATTTCAGGGTAGTAGGAAGGAGTCCAGAGTGTGATGTTTACAGGTTGTTTTACAGTCACTGCGAATCGCCTTTACAGAAGTCTCTGTCCTCGTCTCAGCCGTGTGACGAGCAGGCAGCTCCATAATTGCCCTTGAATGCTTCCATGGTTAGGCCTGACCAGTGAAAGCACTTCAAGCGCAATTAGAGGCATCGAGCATGTTAGCAGGATTACAAGCGTCTTCCCTTCTCTGTCAAATTAATATTCCTTCCCCAGCACACACGCACCGTGCCTGGAAATGATGGGTTATTAGCTAAGACCTCATCCATACAGCTGCCCTCATTTGGGGAGCAGGAGGGAAAGATGTACACAACAAAAAACATGCTTTGCTCTGAGGAACCATCACATCATTAAAGATGAGGGAGGCACGGGGGCAGCTTTGCCCCTGCATCCTGTCACTGGCATGAGAGTTACATGTGTACATCGAGCACAGCTCATACTATCAACTCTGCGATGGGCAATGGACCAGATTTCGACCAAAAAAACCCAGGGTCTTCATAAACCTTAGGCCCATTAGGGTCAGGCACAAAATTGCCTCCTGGCATGTTTTTAGACAAGTACCTTTGAAAACAGGAGTCAATGCCTTCCTGCAGCATCGTTCCTTGCCTGAGTCCTTCTGCTCACCAAAATGCATATATTTTTAGCAAAGGATTTATTGTTTTCTTATGCTAATCGAGTGTTAGTCAACTATATATTTTAACAAAGGATTTATGGTTTTCTTATGCTAATCGAGTGTTAGTCAACTTGCTAGAGGACATTTGTTTTAGCAAGGAATGTTGCAAGCTCATGCATCAATAAATATTGAATTTATCCATGGGAGACATTAGTTATTTTTATTTCTCATTGCTTTGTTTCTATAATCTCTTTCAAGGAATCTGCAAGATTTATGTACTCAGTAATAACACAGTTTCATCTAACTACAGTGACTCTGCTTAGAAAGAGTAAGGTTTAAGAGAGGGAATCCTACGTGGGGATTTATTCACTACTGTACAGATCTAATGAAGCAATATTGGTGTAGGAGAACAGGGTGACAAACTTTCTGTCCCAATTTACTTTGCTAGTGGCTGGTTTTATTGATTTTAAATGTTGAGCTCACACTTTTCATGCTCAGAAAGCAGCAACACTTAACGTGGCTGCAGAGAGATAGGGAACACTCATTAAAACATACACCTTGCAACCCCAAAAGCCAATTTTGAACTCATTGTGTCATGTTTGCAGGCAGATGTCCTAGCTGCACTGGAAGAAACCTTAGCCAAAATAATCAAAGAAAAATGCTTACAATTAAGCATCTATAGTCACACAGGTGGAGAACTCTAATCCATCTACTTTTAAAAGCAATAACCCAGCATCTGCAGGCTTTAAAGATGCTGGACTGAACCTATGCCTTCTCCTGTTTGAGTTTCTGATAAGGAAGTTCATATTTCAATACAGAAAATTCAAATTATAACTTCAATGAGGAAATATAGATTTTTTTTTTCTCAATACGGAGAATATTGTACAATTTCAGTCAACTCTAGGGGTCATTATTTTCAGATAAAGGACCTCCTAACCTCATAAGCAAGCAAAGGGCAAGTAAATCAAATCTCATTTCATATATCTCATAGAGGAAATACACCGCATGGTTCTATAGGAACACAAGTGCTTTCTTCATAGTCCCGCTTGTATCTCGCAAGGCTTGCCTTGCCCAGGGCAGAGCACAGTCAACCCATGTTCACTTCAGAAGGAGCTGAGGGCACTGATGGCCACCATTGCCTCTGGCCAAGAGCACTCATCTGCAAAGAGCACATCCCCTGCTAAGATCCCGCACGCGATGCTCAGCCAGGAATGCAGCACTTAGCAGGGGATACGCTAAAGTTTGTCTGGAACAGTTAAATAAGGGAGGGTCTTGTCCCACCAGCTTTTTATCTCACCAGCTTCCCATTGCGTTTGGCTGAGGTGCCCAGGTGTGGACGCCCCAAGCCATCAGAAGTGAACCTCGAGCCCAAGTGGAAAGGAGATGCTTTCTTCTTACCTGTAATGAAGCCCACGCAGATGTAGAGCTGCAGGATGCTGGTGCAGAAGGCGGCTGAGACCATCCCAATGCCACACAGCAGGCCTCCAAACATAACCACGGGGCGGCTGCCATAGCGGTTCACCAAAATACTGCTAATGGGACCTGGGGAGAGAGTGGAAAATGTTCCTTGAGGTAGGTGTCTTCTGACAGAAGGGCATGTTTGACACAAAGCGGGTAAAACTCTGCCATATTAGTGCCCCTGCAGTGCTGCTGACAGCTTCTCGGGGGACTTCAGGAAGAAAATGGAAAAAGGGAGAAAGATGATCCACACTCCGTGGAGACAGCAGCATGTCCCGTGCCACACGGTGGCTGTGTGGTCAGTGACAGCTTCTGCCCCCAGGTCTTTAAAGTATCATCGGAGAACGCAAACAGCAGCAACAAATCAGGTGAACACCTGATCCCAACGTAGGAGCTTCTTGATTTATGATGATGCTGAACTAAACACACAAAGCACTGGTTCATATTACGAGGCTGTTATCATGAATTCTGTTACATTTTTAATGCCTCTATTTAATGTAATTCCAATACTGCTGACCAGGAGCGAAGCTTTAGCAGAACAGTTGTTAATTAAATATTAATAGCAGTCTATGTAGGTAGAAACAGTTTGGGATGATGGATTAGCCCGAGCTCAAAAGAACCAGTTTGGTCTTGCATTTATGTAAAGAGGTGGTTCAGGAAAGTGCAAAATTATGAAAGAGGGAAATGGATTAACAAAGACTGCATGCACTGAAAGGAAGCATTGAAATCTGAGGAAGTGGACCATGCCAGCAGCTTTGGGTGGAGGAGGAAAAAAGGAAGGTCTGTATAATAGTCTCAAGTAGCTGGAGAACCAGTAAAAATCAGAATCACAGAATAATATATGTTGGAGGGACTTTGAAGGTCTCGGGACCAGCTCCATTCTCAAAGCAAAGCCAACTCTGATGTTCAATCAGGCTGAGAAGTCAGAACTAGAGAAAGCAAACTGAGCAGGAAAGAGCGGTCCAGAAATCAAGCTGTGAGATGGTAAGGAAAAGATTCTGTATTACTCAAAAACCCTGAAACAAAATGCTGCAAAAATGATGCTGGAAATGAGGTGGGGGATACAGACAGCATTGAGTATGTCATCTCACCTGGCTATTGCTGGTGCTACCCAGCACACAGCCCAGTGTGCCTGTTTGTCTGCCTTTATTCCTGGCATTACGAACAGCCCACAGCATCCACATACAGATTACTGGAAACGGGTATTTTAACCTTACAGGCATCTCTCAAGAGTTTGACTGTGGGATCTACCTTACCACAGAGCCATTTGGTAGGATGTTTACCTTTGCTTAAATAATCTCAGCCAGAAATAGTGCCAGAGCTCTTTTCAGACCCTGCAAACCATGGTGTGCTGGGTCTGGCATAAGCCAGACCCCAAAACCCTCAGCACGGCTGACAGTTTCCAAACAAGTTTTCAGCTGTTATAATGTACAAGAATAAAAAACAGTAGGTATGACTGGCTTTACCTAGGGAATGAAGCCCATTGCTACATTGTAACACGTGAAATACTTTCCACAAGATGTCTAAGGTCAAACCACTCGTAAATTAAATATACACAAGCACAGTTTTAACAGCATCTCTGTCACTGCGTGATCTGCGAGCTGGCCTCATTGAATGCACCACTCAATTAAAATTTCTGTGAGTGCATAATTACGTGAAGAGGTTTTTTTCTCTTAATCCTGTGACTGGATTCACATGCCTGCATCCTTTTGCTGCACAGAGCAGTACAGAATTCAATGAGAAGTTCTAGGGAAAGAGATCCATATGTCAAATCAGCACAGCAGGAAAGGGACCCCTTTCTCACTGAGTTTTCCCTGGTCAGAACTTGGACTTGCATCATGCTTGAGCTGGTCTCAGCGTGTCCCGTAAGTCAATAGATTGAGCCAGTGTTCCTCCAAAAGGCACCACCACATCTCTCTGCAGCCTAAGGGCACACAACTCTTCCATTTTTCAATTTTCCACATGTCCGCGTTTCTCCAGAATCAATCTAATTACTCAGCTAAGAAAATGTGGTTTCAATTACCCCTCCCACTAGAAGAGGGCTTTCACACGAGCCCTGAAACTACAGGATGTTGTACCATGGAGCAGAGCATGTAAAGCCCATAGGATTTCTGCTAAGGCCCCTCTCCTGCCTTGATTTGGGGCAGTTCCTGGCGAGAGAAGACCCTGCTATGAGAACTAAAACAAAATGCTCACTTACGTCCCACTCTTGCAGCATCCACCTCAGGAGAAAGGGAATAAGGATCTGCATCCCTCTCACTCCAGTCCATAAGCTGTCGTATTGGCTTCACCCATCAGTAAGGATGGGTTTGGACCGGAAGAGGGCATTCACACGAGCCCTAAAACTACAGGATGTTGTACCACTGAGCAGAGCATGTAAAGCCCATAGGATTTCTGCTAAGGCCCCTCTCCTGCCTTGATTTGGGGCAGTTCCTGGCGAGAGAAGACCCTGCTATGAGAACTAAAACAAAATGCTCACTTACGTCCCACTCTTGCAGCATCCACCTCAGGAGAAAGGGAATAAGGATCTGCATCCCTCTCACTCCAGTCCATAAGCTGTCGTATTGGCTTCACCCATCAGTAAGGATGGGTTTGGACCATGAAAGCAGATGTTGAACTGTAAAGGGCTGAGGATGGGACATATTCTGCTCTGCTTCCCAGCTACAGGGACAACCCAGGGTAGAGGCTGGAATAGGTGAAAGAAAAAGTTCATATCCCAATCACTGGCTTTCCAAAGGAGAGCACCCTTCCTGTGCCTCTGGGGCAGCCTCCATGAACATGCAGTGTCCTCCACAACATCCCAACTTCCCAGCAATCACTTATTAAGCCACGAGACTGCAATTGCTGCCTGTTCTTGTCTTGTGTGATTTCTCAGTGATGCTTTACAGCCGGTCTGCATGACCTTCAGCAAACAGCCTTCATCTGCTGTAACCAGCGTTATCAGTTTTACAGGGGGATAATCAGTCCCACTTGTTTGCCAGACCGGGTGGGAGATCTGTGGTCTCAAAGGTGTTATCTGCCTGGGCTGGGCGAGCTCACAGGTGACTGTGATGAACTTCAGAAGAAACATAAACCTTTCTCCTTCACAGCCTGAAAGCTTAAGTCCAGTGATCCTGCTTTCCTAAAGCAGCTCGGCGCACAGGATCACAGTACACACATGTGAGCCACAGCATTTGATCTCCCTGACCACACTCACCCACATAGGACCGAGGGTCAGAGACCTTCAAGATAATAAGTGCAGCCAGTTAGAAGAGAAAACAGAAGCAGAGCACCTGGACTGAACATTTCCAGCCACTGGAAAATCCACAGAAAAGGCCATAATGAGCACTCAACCCACAGGGAAAGCATCAGCTAGACTTACACTTTATGAGACACCAGAGAATCTGAACCAAGGTCTCAAACAGTTGGGAAACCAAACTTCCCTGAGATGCTGCTCAGAGGGGCAAAGGTTTTGTAATAGTCCTGAGCAGACCTTTCGAATGCACTGAAGCAAAGGCAAAATCACATCCCCAAAATTACTTCCACTTAAGTCATTTGGACCTACGGAAACGTCCATAGGCTTTAATGGAGCAGCTTTTCAAAAGCTGTCCCATCTCGGGGCAGAAACCGGCGCACGCAATGTGTCACATAGAGGTGCACACTTCAGCTCGCAAACCCTGCCAACTTGGGCAGGCGTAGGGAGCACAGACACACCTTCACCCTGCCCAGATGTCTCCAGAGATCAGCATCACACCCAACAGACCCTAACGCACCTCTCCTGCCGCAGTGGATCTCTCGTTGGGGGCTGATTAGCCATCGAGCACTAGATAAGCTTAACAGCAATGTCCTGGGGAGCTTTGGAAAACATCAAATAGCTCAAGTCAAGACAGAGGAATTAAGAAGAGGGAGCAGCAAAGCCAGCACCGCAGTTGTGGGAAATAGGAAACACGATTACTGCTTTGCTTGCAGCTACTGCAAAAATTAAAAGTGTGACAGCCCCTGGAAACACGGTGGAATTGAAAAGCGGGACCTGTCATTCACCAGTTATTCAGCCTGCATGAAAAGAATAAAGATGCTGTATATCACCACACAGAAACCAATTATGGCAACAATGTGTGCAGCTTAGATCCCAAGGCACCTTTACTTGTTAATACCTGCCTGGTCAAAAAGTGCAGGAACCACAGGCTCCCCGTCCTGGCATCCAAAGTAAATCATCCGTCCTTCCTGCGAGCCAACAGCAGAAGCTGACAGGAGTTGGGGTGATTTTTGCCTCTTAATTTACAGAGTCAGGTGAGGAGAGGGCAAGAGAAACAGCTGGCAATGCTCTCAGAAAGCTGCCATTTACCTGGCTTGACCTTGCAGAAGCAGCCACACGAACACTGTCAAGAGTCCCTGAAAAGTCACGTCAAGGAGCAAAAGCCACCTCAGCTTCTGAGTGTGTCCCTGGTGCATGGCTTTTCAGGGACCAGAGCAGCCAGAACTAGTGCCACCCAGCCAGTGCTGTCCCCACATCCCCACCACCATGGTGGCATTGCAGCTTCCAATGAGGAAATTAGAAGTAAAATTTAATCACTCCCTTGCACCCCAAGACATTACAAGGACAAGGCTGATGACACAGGAGTGCTGGCACTTGGTTGCAGGAAGGGATGGCATTTCCACCCACCCACCCACCCCTAGGAAACAAGGTGCCCCTTCCACAACCCAGCAAGTGGCTTCCTCCATCCTGATGACCTTCCAGCTGCGGGGATCATTTATCACTCATCACGAGGGGATGGCACGAGACAGCGGAGGACACAGGGAGGATGATGAGTCTCATCCTGCTGCTGGCTTCGCTCCGAGCTGTGCCTGTGGCTCTGCACCTCCCCTGGGTCACGGGGCACTGCCAGGGGACACGATCTCTGGTGGAGTTACCATCAGCCCTGGGTAAAAGCAAGGAAAGCCAGCTCAGAAATGCCTTGTTTTACACCTCAAGCCCTTGCAAAGCAAGGTCCATATAAAGGGGGTTCTGCGTGCAGTAAAACTCTGCAGTCTGGAGAGCAACGGTTTGCACCTAATATCCCCTAAAGATGCTGCTGGGATCATGGCACTCCTGGAAGACTGATGTA